CGTGGAGAATTCAATCTGGTTCTCCAAAGAGAACCATTTCTCTCTTTAGCCGAACAACACATGGGCTAGAGCTCTGCACAGGGAAATTCCTGATCCACGCTTGAATAAACACAGAATCGACTCAAGACAAAAGTTTGTATGGCCCTACCCTCGGCCCTTGTGATCAGGCTCTGCCTCACACTCTCCAAGTGCCTGCACAATCACGTTGGAAAGTATACGGCAAGGAAACAACAGATTTGGCTCTGGTCCCAATTCTTTTGCTCCCCGGATGCTTTACCTCAGCAACTTTTCTTAGTCATGGAACACAAGATGCAGAATGAAGACCATGAAGTGCGTTTCCAGCCCTCACACTCAGCTCCCTGACACTGCAGAGACCGACTCCCCTGCACAGTCCTGCTCCCTGCAGAGGGGGTGGCTGAGGAACTGAATAGATCGAGCCTCTGGAGCCTGGGGACCCCTCGAAGCCTTTCAGGACAGCAGCCAGGGGTGTAGAGGAGAAACTGAAGATTTCAGGCTGAGAGTCTGGGGGTCTCCAGGGGCTCCCACTCTGTGCTGGCCCACCCGGAGAGCCCCAGTGAGCTCATGTCTGCAGAAACCTCACTGCTCATGACCAGGATGGTGAGATAACCCTGGAAGCCAGGCCCAGGTGAGAAGTGATGGGTGTCTGCTCAGGAATGCGCTGCCCAATTAAAACTGCCTACCAGGTGGCTGGGCATGAGGCTGGGATGTCTCCCCGGGCAGTGCTGGCCATCCTCCAGCTGAGTGGTTCTGCAGGCATCTACCATGGACCTACTATGTCCCTACTATGTCTCAGACACCAGACTAGGTGCTGGGGGATCAGAGCCATGCTAAAGAGGACATCCTGGGACACACAAACGAACCTCGGACCCGAGCAACTTGCTACAGAGATAGAGACGACCCTGTACTTTGCAATAGGCCATTTCCGCTGGGCTGCTCCAGACAGGGGTAGGTGCTGTCCCTCTGCCTACCCCCTAGGAACTCCGGCGACCACAATTTTCTAGAAGTCACCAATAAGCTCCAGGGACAAGCAGCGGTGACGCCAAATGTCAGGCCTCACGGGCAGGGGAGGAGAGGGCCCTTCTCCTTCCCCTGCCCCGATGATGAGACTCTGAGATGATGCACCACCATCCACTTAAGCTTCCACACGGCCCGGATCCAGAGACACACAAAGGAATCTTGGACCGAGCAGCCTGCTGCAGCAATCCCTCAGACCCTAATTATTAAAATTTTAGAATTCCTAGAGGCACACCGCTTATTGCATCCAAACAAGCAATACAAAACACATTGTCTAGCATTGCCTTTTTGGTAGGTATGAGTCGTGATGGGTCTGGTCTCAAACTATCAAAGGTCACTAAAGTAAAGAGAGTATTGTGCTAATTGTCTGCCACACTGGCAGGGGGAGGTGTGGGAATGTGGGGAGAGGGGGATACTGGGGATTTGGGTGGTGGAAAATGTGCACGGGTGAAGGGATGGGTGTTGGAGGACTGGATGATCAAAACTCAAACAGGAGGGGCTGGAGCAATAGCACAGCGGGGAGGGCATTTGCCTTGCCGGGTTCGATTCCCGGGTTCGATTCCCAGCATCCCATATGGTCCCCTGGGCACCCCCAGGAGTAATTCCTGAGTGCAGAGCCAGGAGTAACCCCAGTGCATTGCCAGGGCTGGAGCGATAGCACAGCGGTAGGGCGTTTGCCTTGCACGCAGCCAACATGGCCGACCCGAGTTTGATTCCTCTGCCCCTCTTGGAGAGCCCGGCAAGCTACCGAGAGTATCTCGCTCCCACGGCAGAGCCTGGCAAGCTCCCCGTGATGTATTCGATATGCCAAACACAGTAACAACAGTGACCCAAAAAGCCAAAAAAAAATTCAAACACGAAAACTTTGTTACTGTACCTCACGGTGAATCAATAAAAATAAAATTAAAAAGAAAAGAAAAAAGGAAAGCCTGTGTTACAGAAATACTTTTGGAAGCAGATGGTCAGAAAGCCTCAAGAGCCTCTCAGGGTCCTTGCTGATGAAGCCTCAGGGCCCCTTTACATGGCCCATCAACCAAAGCCCCCCTTTTTTTCCCACACACCCTCCCCAGTCTTTCTTTCTAATGCATTCACATCTCTGTCTTTCTCTGGCCTCCTCCTCCAAACTGGTTTAAGTTAGGCTGCTGCCTCCTCACTTTCCCTGCTTATGGGATTATCTCATCCAGAATTTCTCAACCAGGGGCTGTATCTTTCCCCCACCCCAGCCACTATTCTTTTTTTCCAGCCAATATGTAAGGGGTTGCAGGTGAGGATCATATCAATACAGGGCCAGGGCAGAGACCAGAGGACCGGCGGGTAGGACAGGTTACTCAACCTTTTGCAGACCATGAGCCTCTTCTGACCTTGGTTTTTCCCTGAACCAACCGCTATCCCACCAACTGGGTATCCCCTTAGACTCATACCATCACCCCCCATTTATGCAATTTTCCTAGAAGCCCCCTTGGAATAATCGTTGGGGCCATATGGACTGCTGAGAAATGCTGGTCTAGACAGCCCTGGGATGCCCATCACTAGCAGACCTCAAGACTTTTGCATCCTTGGCAAGGTTCCAACCAAGGCTGCAAAGTACAAAGACACCCAGAGGACTAAAGGATGGACACACCCCCAAGATTGCACAAGGCTATGTGCAGTGAGAAGTGGACTCTCACACAGGAAAAGCGCCTCAGATGGGCAAGGGCCTCTCCCTCAAAGGGGACGTGATTTGAGGGCAGAAGTTAGAGGAAGATAGAACTTAAGTGTGGTCTACGTGGTGGGTGGGTTAAAGTTGGCCAGACAGCATGTGCTAAAATACAGAAATTCCCCTTTACCGAACTTGGTGTCTTCATTTTAGAATTGCACCCGCTATGAGAAAGAGATGCTGCATAAAAACACAATTTCTGTGGGTGGTTATTTTTCTTCACGTAACGAGGAATCAGAAGTCACGTGGTCTAGGGACTGAATGCAGCACCGAACCCCATCAGGGCCCAGGCTCCTGTCAGCCTTCTGTCCTGTCTTCCTAAGCAGTCCTCTTTTCCCTCATGGTCACAAGGTAGCTAGGCAATCTCCAACATCAAGTGTCAATTCTAAACAGGAAGAAGGTCAAAGACCAAAATCCACCTACAACTTCTGCCTCCATTTCATTGGCTCCACTGCATCACGTGGCAAGAGTGTTGCATTGCATGTATTGTGGATCCCAACAAAAACCAGATTTGTATAAAGAAAAGCTAACCTGGCAGAGAGGTAAAGAAAGAGAAGTGTGAGGCTGGCAGTAGAGAAAAAGGAAGCAATGGCTCCTTTTTGTTGCTTTGTCAAAGGTTCTATCCTTGACCTAACTTTAGCCAGGTTTCTAAATTTTTCCACTGTCTGTGCTCATTTGTGTAAAACCACTTTTAGCAAGAGTCGTGTTAAGTCAGCTCAGCAAGTGCCAGATCCTCGATATCTGATCACCCTCCGTATCTGATCAGGTTCTACTCCACCAGCCTCCACTATGCCCTGGGTAAAGTCCGATCACCCTGACTTGTCTTCAACAAGAATCCTAGTAGGTCAGGATAGCCAGGAGTTTCCTTTCCTCACCCTGAGATTTCCTCCTTAAAGTTTTCTATCCACTGACCTTGAGCTTGTGCCTTGGCTATCAACCCCATTTGCCTCCATTACATCAGCCTCATCTCTTTATTTCCCTGCAAGACCCCACTGCCGGGTCTGATTTCATTGTCTCCAACGAAAGTGCCATTGGTTTTTTTGTTTGTTTGTTTTTTACAAAACATCTTACCCTGAAGGCTCAGTTAAGGGATCATGTCCAGGGGTTAGGCAGATGGTCCCACAGACCAGCCTGGCCACTTCCCCATGGGGGGGGGGGGGGGATGAGAAATCCCAGAGATTTGGAGATCTGGGAAGTAAGTCTCCAGCCTCATTCCCCAGTACAAAGAAACCAGCCTCCTGGGGACATGGGTGACAGGGCGCGTGGTATAGAAATGCATCCAGACTCAACAAAAACTGAAGCATGGGCTCTCAGCTGGAGCCACTGGAACTTTGGAAGGTGCCTGTCAGGTTGACAGGCGGGGATGAGGCACTGGTTGGGGTGGGGAGGGAATATGGGAGCTTGGGTGGAGAGACGCTGACGCTGGTGGTGGGGCTGGTGTTGAAATACTGTATGCCTGAAACTCAACTATCAATAACTTTGTAAATCACAGTGCTCTAAAATTTTTTAGTTAAAAAAAAAAAGGAACCGGCGCTGGAGTGATAGCACAGCGGAGAGGGTGTTTGCCGTGCACGCGGCTGACCCGGGTTCGATTCCCAGCATCCCATAGGGTCCCCTGAGCACCGCCAGGAGTGATTCCTGAGTGCAGAGCCAGGAGGGACCCCTGGGCATCACCAGGTGTGACTCAGAAAGCAAAAAAAAAAAAAAAAAAGAAGAAGGAACCCAGCCTCTCAAGTGCTCCCTATCCTTCCCTCCCTCTTCTCCCCTCCCCGCCCCCCACCGCCACCCCGCTCCCCCTTCTCCCGGCGATGCTGGGGAGGGGGAGGGGGCGGCTCTGGGCGGGAGGGAAGGCTCTTGGGCATCTTGGGCGTGCTGGCCAGGGTCTACGCGGCCTCCGGCTCAAACCCGGAAAGGTTCAAGCCGCGGGGGGCGACCCAGCCGGGGCCTCCCGGCCCGCCCGTCTGCAGACGCCCCCCACCCCGCGCGTCCTTGCCACCGCCGGGCCTCCCGAGCGCGGCGGGCGGGGGCGCCCCCTGCCGGCCGGGGCGCGCGCAGGCGCCGGAGCCGCCGGCCGGCCCCGGCCCTGAAGCGCGTGCGCGTGCGCACTGGCGCTGGCGACGCGGCCGCGCCGGGGGCCCAGGCAGGTAAGGCGGGGGGCGGGCGGGGTGGTCGCTGGCCCTCGCCCTGCCAGCCCCCCAGGTGACGTTTCCCACCCCGCGCCCCCTTTCCCCCGCCGCGGCCCCCGCAGAGGCCGCGGGCCCGCCGGGCCATGGGCGCGCGCCCCTCGGCCTGTGCGCGCCCCCCGGCCCGGACTTGGACGCGGCGGAGAGAGGACGGCGGGGAGGACCCCCGGGCCGCGCGCGAGCGGGAAGAAGCGATCGCCCAGTTTCCCTACGTGGAGTTCACCGGGCGGGACAGTGTCACCTGCCTCACCTGCCAGGGCACGGGCTTCATCCGCGCGGGTGAGGCGCCGGGGGGCGGCCCGCGGGGCGGTCCCGGGAGCGAGCGGGGATGCTGGAGCCGGGTGCCCTTGGGCCCGGCGGGGGACGGGATGGGCGCCTTCCAGGAGGCCTTTCTCCTTGGGATTGTGGCCTTCCACCTGCTGTGCATTGTGGGTCTGCTCCCCGTCTCACCCCTTCTTTTGCTCTCTTAAGGAGGGGATGAAGTGCCCACAAATTTTTTTTTTCTTTTTGGGTCACATCCAGTGATGCTCAGTGGTTCCTCCTGGCTCATGCACTCAGGAATTACTCCTGGCGGTGCTCAGGGATGCTGGGAATCGAACCCCTGGCGGGCGCGTGCAAGGCAAACGGCCCTACCTGCTGTGCTATCACTCCAGCCCCAAACTTTTTTTTTTTTAAGAGAACAGTGAGTCATGAAACTGTAAGATCTGAAAATGTAATGTAGGAGAAAATACACACACACACACACACACACACACACATGCTCAAGAATGGCAGACTGGATTTGGTGCGGAATCGTTTATGTCTGATTTTACACTCAGGCTTAACAATTGAGATGGAGTGTCACACGGGTTCAGACCTGGTAAGGAGCTTAGAAATCATCTGTTCCAAAGCCTTCCTGTTACAGATGAGGCGAACAAGTTGGCCTGAGGGACAATGATGTCCCAAGGCCAAGCAGCAGTTTAAGGCCCTGGCATCACACCAAAACAAGAGTCCGAATTTCTCAACTTCCATGTCCACTACCCTCGCACCACTGATAAATGTTTTATAATTTGCAGCATTTTGTATTTACTTTCTGTCTTGTTCACTAGACTCAAAGTATGAAACTAGCATCTTAGAAGTGTTCAGTTCTGACCCCCATTTCATTCCCAGCATCCCATATGGTTCCCCCGAGCACCGCCAGAGGTAATTCCTGAGTGCAGAGCCAGGAGTAACCCCTGTGTGTCTCCGAGTGTGACCCAAAAGACAAAACAAACAAACAAACAAAAATGTTCAGTTCCAAACAAGTACACATTGTGATGGGATATGGCATATGGCATGATATGAAGGAAAGTTCTGACGAAGTGGGATTCACGTTACCTGAATAATTGTTTGGTTCTTTTCTAGAGCAAGTGAATGAGCTGGTGGCTTTGATCCCACACAGTGACCAGAGATTGCGCCCTCAGAGAACGTGAGTGCTGGCCTCTCTCTCTCTCTCTAGTCCCTTCTATATGCGTTAGTGTCGGTTGGCTCTCTGGAAACTGTCCCTTCCTCTATATTCTGGCATTCGTTGCCCCATTTTCTTTCAAACTCTTTGCTCTAGCAAGGTGCCTCTGCCTTCATCATCAGAAACACGTTGAGGACCAGTCAGAAGGAACTGGAGAGGAAGGGGTGGGGTGTCCTTGGTGGTGAGGAAATATTTCTCCCGACACAGTTCCTCTGGTTAGTCTCTCCTCCCAGACAGCATCCTCCAGGGTTTAAAAGGATCCTTCCTGCTGCGCTCATGCTGGCCTGGTGATGGACTTGATCCTTTTCTTTTTCCCTCTCCCTTCATTTCCAGTTTTCTGTTTAATCCTGACTTGGGGATTTTGCTACTGTGCTGACCAGGTGGCTCGTGTGCTTTGTCACTTGCAGTAAGCAGTACGTTCTTCTGTCCGTTCTTCTCTGTCTCCTGGCCTCTGGTTTGGTGGTGTTCTTCCTGTTCCCACATTCAGTCCTCGTGGATGATGGCGGCATCAAAGTGGTGAAGGTCATATTTAATAAGAAGGACTCCCTCGTAATCCTCACCGTCATGGTAAGACCGACGGCCTGGTATCCTGGATGCACGTGGAAGTCTTGTGCAAACAGATGTAAGGAAAAGTGCACCTATTTCCTCCTTTGCTCTGCTGCAGGCCACACTGAAAATCAGAAATTCCAACTTCTATCCTGTGGCACTGACCAGCCTGTCCAGCCAGGTCCAGTACATGAACACAGTGGTTGGCACACACACAACAACTAGCGTCTCCCTCATTCCTCCTCGGAGCGAGCATATGGTGTGTTATTATTTATTTATTTTTCTTGTACCCATCATTTATTCAGAACAACAGCAACCACAGAATATATTTATAGTTTCCCCCAAAGAGAATATACTTTTTATGAAATAGAAGATTAGTTGTCAGGAGGTGCTTTTGGAGAATGATCGGTAAGCGCCTTATCAATGGTTGGATACTGATACCAGGGACCATCACCTCTCTCACGCATTAATTTTCATACTTCCAGCTCCTTTAACCGTAATTCAGCCTTGTCAGCTTCGATTTGAAGAACAGCCATTGTTTTTTCATAATTCTTTTCAGGACAGTCGAAGAAAGTCCATGCAATCCATCTTGATATAGGATGCTTGTAATGTTCCCAATGTTCTGGGACATAGCCTTCTGGAATTTCTGCTAGCTCAGCTTCACCAGTGAATACATTGACCAGAGTTATGCCAACTGCCACTGGAGTCCCCGTCAACAGAATGTAGAATGACATTAAATGCAAAAACCGCATATCGTAGAATCCACAAGGCTTGATGATAAACAGTCTCTTTCCGTGGTGATCTCCGCTATGTCGAACAGGAGTGACGGCCTTGGGCACGCCGTGGCGGGGGAAGCCCCTGAGTCCGAGCCAGCCGCCCACGTAGCGGCCCGACAGAGCGGTCACCGCCGTGACCGAGGCCTGTGTCATTCTTTTAGAACCCTTGCCGCATGGGCCAAAGAGAAGAGCAGGGATATGGGGATGCTGTCGTCTCGTGACTTCCTTCTCCTCTTCTCATTCAGTACAAGTACAAGTGCAGAACAATTTGAGAAGACGGTCCTGGGAAACTCTGTCATTAGGAGAAGCTGAGTGAGGGGCTGGAGCAATAGCACAGTGGGTAGGGCATTTGCCTTGCACGCGGCCGACCCGGGTTCGATTCCCAGCATCCCATAGGGTCCCCTGAGCACCACCAGGCGTAATGCCTGAGTGCAGAGCCAGGAGTAGCCCCTGTGCATCACCGGGTGTGACCCAAAAACCAAAAATAAATAAATAAAAAGAGAAGCCGAGTGAGTGGGTGGGTGAGTGGGAGAATCAGCCCACAGTACAGTACTAGGCTAACAAAATCACTTAGAAGAAAGATTTGCCACAAATCAAGAAGAAGCACTCTAATAGTCTGAGGGCCACTGGCCCCTCAAAAGGAAAGAGGTTGGAAACATTTGTTAGTGGCCCAGAGGTTGTATCAAGGGGTCAGCCTAGGGGAAATATTTGGTGTGTGTTGGAAGAATGCTCCCAGAATGTTGGACTGCTAGTAGGAATATCATCTGGACAGTCGTCAGACTTGTTCGGCCACAGGCTGACTCGTGTGTCTTATTTTCAGGTGAATTTTACCATGGAAGCTGAGATGGGAAGACAGTACTCCTATGTGTAGTAAGGACCATGTTGTCTGTTATGTGTTCGCTGCTGGCTGAATGGGATTCTGAGCTGAACTTACCTGACTAGAATTTCTCCTGCTTTAAGTTCTAGCGTTCCATCCTGAGGGTTGTCTTGTGGGTGTGTTCGGAGAGCGTGTCCTTTGTCATTTAGTGGCTAAGGTGCTGTCATTTCTGAAAGAGAGTATCAACTCCACTAGGAACGTTCCCTAACGGCGGAGTTTGTGTGACGGATTTGTTGGGGGTGAAGCTGGGAGTATCATGGCAGACAAGGGAAGAGCAGGCATTGTCCTGCATCATGAAAGGGTGTTTGTGGAGCCTCAGAAGCAGGGCAGAGGGCCGATGGGGGCAGAGGAAGTATGCTGGCCACACGACCAGGCAACTGAGCGCTCTTCTGCTGAACTTTTTTCAAACGCAAAGTCAAACCGATTGCTTCCCTGTTTGTTCTTCAACAGCTTCCTATGCACGCTGCCTGACCTCTTGGTGCACAGCATACTGATCTTCATGCAGTAAGTCTCTCTCTTCCCCTGGGCCTTTGTGTCTAATCCACACAGGCAGTGCGAGGTCTGTGTGAGCTGAGAGGCAGAGGCTGGCTTAGCCCGATGTTCTCTGGACTCGTCTGTGTCTCCGTTACAAATCCTGGGACTCTCAGTGAATACTTAACATTTAATGCACGAGGGGGCCTGGAGCGATAGTCCAGTGGGTGGGATGTTCGCCTTGCACGCGGCCTACCCAGGTTTGATCCCAGCATCCCATATGGTCCCCTGAGCATCGACAGGGGTAATTCCTGAGTGCAGTGCCAGGACTAACCCCTGAGCATTGCCAGGTGGACCCAAAAAGAAAACAAATCCATTTAATGCATGAACTGTAATCTAGTTTGCTCAGTACCTTGTTGCTCTTAGAGTTCTAAAACTCTCTCAAGGGGGGCTGGAGCGATAGCACAGCGGGTAGGGCATTGGCCTTGCACGCAGCTGACCCGGGTTCAATTCCCAGCATCCCATAGGGTCCCCCGACCACCGCCAGGAGTAACTCCTGAGTGCAGAGCCAAGAGTAACCCCTGAGCATCGCCGGGTGTGACCCAAAAAGCAAAAATAAATAAATAAATAAAATAAAACTCTCTCAAGGAATCAGTCCTTGACATTTGGCTGAACTCACTGTCTAGCCACACAGATCACCACACAGATGGACCTTTAGGGTCATTCCTGGAACCATTACTTGGCAACTGACAAGGATCTGCTTCAAATATTTGAATTAGGAGGGTTGGAGTAGAGCTGCTCCGCCTCGGCACTGTTGAAATTGTGAGTCAGCGAGGTTGGGGCGGGGTGGAGAGATGTGTTGTGCAGAGTGGGGCGTTTCAGGTCATCGCTGGCTTCTTGACTAGGTGCCAGTCAAGTGTGGGACCCCATCACCCCTTCAGTTGAACCAATGCAAATTCTCGCCAGACATTTTGAAATGTGCGATAAAATGGATTGAGAACCACTTCCTTGGAGGGTCATCACATGCCCCAGCTGCTTCGTGAATGTGAACTGATCTCGGCCTCCTGGTTTATGTAACCGGAAGCCACTCATCTGGAACCTGTAGATATTCTTGCCTGTTTTTGCGAAAAAAAAACAAAATTATTTGGGCAGTTCTACGTGCTCTCTAACAATTTGTCTTGGCTTCTTTCCTTTAGAACATCCGTGAAGATTTCCTACATTGGCCACGTGACGCAGAGCTCCTTGGAGACCCATCACTACGTGGATTGTGGGGCCAATTCCACAAGTGCTTGAAAACTGCTCTTGGTTCATCCATGGCGGCACCTGTCCGATGAGACTGACGCCATGGCTGTAGCCGGGGCCTGCGTTGACGTCCCGACCCAGGTGGTCTAAGTGAAGAGAAATAGGGTCCCCTCTTCCCCAGCAAGCGTCTTCTTGCTTCTTGGGAGGAAATCTCCCTCCGTGTCCACTAACCTTCCTCAGCAGCTGCACTGCCCGGCCCTTCTCCTGTCCCCAGCAAACAGTGCAAGGAGAATAGGAGCGTTTGAGGTTGGCTGAATGTAATGCGGTCAGCTTGGTTCCGAATAGGAATCACGTGTTATCCAATCATCCATCGTGGTGCCGCTGCAGAATTGCTGTCAGGGTCTTGTCTGCACAGAAGAGGCAGCAGGAAGGAAGCACTTGAATGAAGAAAGCACAGACCACGGAACATGTGAATTTTTTCATCTGCTTCAACTTGTCTAAGCAGCTTTAAAGACAGGTTTTTTTTTTCCCTCTGTAGAAAGTTAACAGTTGTTTTTATCAAGAGTCTACCTGAGGCTTGATTTGCCCTTTATCCATTGGCTGGAACATGGATCGGGGATGTGGTCGGAAAATAAAGCCTGCTTTTGATTCACCGGTGTCTCCTCTGATTGGGTGGACGTGTTAGTCAGCGTCCCAGAGGACTACCCATAGTTGCCCGCTGTGTGGGTCCGTGCAGCCCGGCAGGGAAGAGGCTTTGGTGGTGAGTTCTATCCAGGCAGCCGCCAGCTGCTTCCAAGGACAGGCTGGCTTCTTGCTCTTCCAGAACCGAGCACATAATGCCCCCTGCAGGTTGGCAGAGGGAGGGCAGCTGCCTACGTGGGAACAGCTTCTCCGAGGCCCAGTGACTTCTGGCTGACTGTGATCGTAATCAGAGGGCGTTTGGAAGTTTGAGGTTGCAAGTTTCGTGAACTTTCTCCACCTCTCAGCCACCAGAGAGTCAGCTTCAAGACATGGTTGAGCTAGTTGGAGAGCTGGACACTTAAAGTGGGTTCCATTTTATCTCCAAACCATTCCCAGAGCTTTTTTTTTTTTTTTTTGGCTTTTTGGGTCACACCCAGCGATGCACAGGGATTACTCCTGGCTCTTGCACTCAGGAATTACTCCTGGCGGTGCTCGGGGGACCTTATGGGATGCTGGGAATCGAACCCAGGTCGCCGCTGTGTGCAAGGCAAAGGCCCTACCCACTGTGCTATCGCTCCAGCCCCTCTCAGAGCCTTTCATTTGCCCATTTACTCAGTACGTGAAATTACTGAGTACCTGCAGTAGGCTAAGCGTCTGCTGCCCTTTTGTCCTGGCATATCTAGAAGTTTAAAACAACCATCACGAATCTGAGTCTCACTAGATTTCATGTAGGCCACAGTTTGCTTACTGCTAAGAGAGGAAACTTCCCCTTATTCTTCTGGGTTGTATCAGGCTGGTCAAATAATCAAATATATTACTAGGAGGAAAAGACAAACTTAATGGCACACATGTGGGGAATTGCCTTGGATCTGAATTCCAGGGTCCGTGAGGAGAGGTTGGGGGAGGGGGAGGCGTGCATCTGTGGTTTGAGCTGAGGAGGCCTGAGTCTTCAGGGGGCATGAGAAATGTTCTCCAAATAGCTGTTGCCCTGCTGCATAGTTTTTCTGATAGGTGACTTCTAGGAAAAACCCTAATTCCAGATATAAAAACCTCTCGTTTTTATTCTTGTAGTCAGATGTCCTGGTCACCCGATTGAAGGCAAGAACAGAAAGAAAAATTACATTACTAGCCCAGCAAGCTACCAAGAGTATCTCGCCCGCACGGCAGTGCCCGGCAAGCTCCCCGTGACGTGTTCGATATGCCAAACACAGTAACAAGTCTCACAATGGAGGCGTTACTGGGCCCCCTCGAGCAAATTGATGAACAGGATAGTGATAGTGACAGTTGGTTAAGCAGTAAAAGCCTCTTATGAGCTGGCTCAAAATAGTTCATGTCATTTTGAAGTGACAGGTCCTGAAGTCCTGTTCGGGGCCCCCTGGGGAGCCCCCCCTTCCTAATTACTCCAAGGTAAGGTCCTTGGTAGCTCTGGGTCAGTGAATGCGGGTCCTAGCTCCAAGTGTGAAACAAAGCCGTCTATTGATGAAGGCTCCGTGAGAGTCAAAGGGCCCCAAGTATTTTCTCTGAGCAAAATTCCTTACTCGTCGCCTTTGTAATAAGACTCTCCATCATCTCCCCAGTACTTTGTTCCTTGGCTCGAGGAGGATGTTATTTTAGAAGTTTTCTCATGCCTTGCCCAGGAGAGCAGGGGACCCGAGCATGTCTGGGCTGAGGCTCAGACTCCTGACCCCAAGTTAAAGCTTTCTGGCGCCTGTCGTTGAGATGAGGATGCCCGAGAGAGGACCCAACCGAGGCCTCTCCCTCGCAAGGCAGTTCCGGGCTTTAGGGGGGCATGTTCTGCCTGAAGAGCTGCTGCCTTTCCTGGGGCACCAGCGTCGGGGGATCGGGGATGAGCCTGGTGGTGCTCCCCTTCTCCCCGGGCCAGCTGGGGAGGAGGGAGCACTGTTGGCCTGGTGGAGCACTGCAGCCTGACCACAGGGCCAGGGTCACTTCCTGCCCTCCCCCCCACCTGGTGCCTTTGCCTGGGGGCAGTGACTATAATTTCTAAGTTTTAGCTGGTATCCAGAAGTGAGTAGGATGAAAGGGGTCACTTTGATATCCTGAAATAAACGGGTTTATCTTTTAAAAGGTCTGAGCTGATGGCGACAATCTCCTGAGATGCTTCGGTTAAAACAGGCGACTTTGGGGTCAGAGAGATTGTACAGCGGGGAAGGCGCTTGCCTTGCATGCAGTCGACCCAGGTTCAATCCCCATCACCCACGGGTGACTCCCTGGTCCCCTCCAGGAGTGATTCCTGAGCACTGCTAGGTGCGGCCCCAAAGCAGTAACCAGAAGTGGCTCTGCATCCGAAGGGAGAAGTGAAATCAGCTTGGGAACAACAGAGGCCTTTTAGTTGGCTGTGTTCCGCAGTTCCAACTGTTGCTGAAGGAAATACTTTCACAGGCAACCCTTGCCTTCCCACATTTTCCCCTTACCCTCCTGTTAGATAAGGTGTTGTTCACTTTAAATCATGATGTGGCTATTTTAATGACATAGTTTTAATTATCATGTTTTTGTTTGACAAGTACTGTCACTGTCCTCCCGTTGTTCATCGATTTGCTCGAGTGGGCACCAGTAACATCTCTATTGTGAGACTTGTTACTGTTTTTGGCATATTGACTACGTCACAGGGAACTTGCCAGGCTTTGCCGTGTGGGCCAGATACTCTCGGTAGCTTGCTGGGCTCTCCGAGAGGGGCAGAGGAATCGAACCCGAGTCGGCTGCATACAAGGCAAACACCCTACCTGCTGTGCTGTACTGGCCCTGAGAATAGTCCATAAAGACTCCACCATACCCAGATTATTCATGCACAAGAACAAGTCGAACAACAAAAGCATCTTTCACATAGTCTTATTTTTCTTACTGGCAGAAAAACTATCTGCCTTACTAGATGGAGGAGGTAGGGATGGGAGATGGGTCTCTAGCCCCGAGCATGCCAAATAGCCTTATGAGTGTTCAACCCCCAGATGTGGCCCCCCAAACCAAACCAAACTATAATTCACTTTGTTTTTTGTTTTGTTTTTTTTTTTTTTTTGCTTTTTTGCAAAACCAGGACTCCCATTGAGAATGGCCCCTGGGCTGGAAAGCCCTCCCTGTGCTTAAAGAGGGCTCAGACCTTAGCTGACTTGCTCTTTTTTATTTTTTCTTTTTTGGGTCATACCCAGCGATGCACAGGAGTTAGTCCTGGCTCTGCATTCAGGAGTTACTCCTGGCGGTGCTCAGACGATCATATGGGATGCTGGGAATTGAACTGGGTTGGCCGCATGCAAGGCAAACGCCCTACCCGCTGTGCTACCTCTCCAGCCCCTTGTGAGTGTATTTTACAGAATACGACTGTCATAGACTTAGGTCAGGGCTGTCCCCTGTCCACTTCAGTCACCACCATGACCGCCGCTAGTGGAGGCAACAACTTCCTCATTCTCCTTAACTGCGAAGTGTTTGAGAGTGAGGAGAAGCTCAGTTCAGAGGACAGTGATGCGCAGGCCCAGAACATTTTAAATGGGGGTGGAGGGGTGAAGGCTGGAAAGAGGGATAGCTAGGGTGTGTGTGTGTGTGTGTGTATGTGTGTGTGTGTGTTGTGTGTGTGGTGGGGAGGGGGGTGTCATATGCAACACATCCACCTGTCTTAGGGAAAGACACAAGTGAACATGTGCAATCACCAGAGCCGCTGTGGGGTTCACTCCTTGCCTGTCCCTCGGAGTGTCTCGAATCCCTCATCCTTCACGTGGCCCCTCCTGCTCTCATCTGACCGGGGCGGTGGGGGCGGGGGGTGGTGTTTCATAATCCTGTGTGAGGAAAGGCCTCCTCTCCTTTGGGCCTGTCTCCCCAGACCTGTGTCCCATCGTCCCCTGGCTTTCCACAGTGCCTGGGCTTACCGAAAGGTTCATTTTGTGTTTGTATGAGATATCAAAACCTGGCAGTGTGGTCTCAGGGTCCTCCACCGAGAGGGTGAAAAGTCAGCCGAAAAGCTTTTGGAAAGCTTCAGGGCTCTGTCCACAGAACCAAGGATTAATGGGTGGGCGGGAGAGAGAGAGTAAAGTCAGTAAGGCACTTGCCTTGCACATGACTGACCCAGGTTTGATTCCCGATGCAGCATTCAGCCCTCTAACCATTGCTAGGAGTGTCCCCAAGCACAATTGAGTGTGGCCCAAAAAAACAAAAGGGGGGGGTGGAGAAAAAATTCACAGGAAGCAAACTAAAAGAACAAAGCACAGGTCCGTATGGACTTTCCAATAATTTTTTTTGTTTTTAATATCAATCGATGTTTTAAAAAATACAGAGGTGTTTGACACAGAATAGCACCATTATGTAGGACACACACAGTTCCCGCGCCCAGCACCTGGAGGTGGGGGTCTTCTTGTCTGGGCTGGTGGGGGGCAGTCTCTCAGGGGGCGTTTGACTCACACCAGTTAGTTTCCTGCCTCTGCCTGGACCCAAAGGTCTTAACAGGAAGACAATAAATAAATAGAACACCGAGATTTTACTTTGCAGTCTGCCCAGGTCTCTCAGGAAGAGAGGGGGTTCAAGTCCAAACTGTGAGCGGGCGGGATGTACGGACGTCAGGTCGGGTCAGCCGTTGATTGGCGAGTCCTAAGTGACTGCGATTGGAAAGTACTTGGGTCCTTTGGTTTTGCCATGGATGGTGATGTTTCTGGGTTTGGATCTTTACAAGAAGCAGACAGGCCCTATGTCCACACCAAATTCCTGCTCGGGCCCTCCGATGTCCATGGGTGCAATGTCAATGATGGGGAGACGGGATGTCTTCTGTGACCGGTACTCGATGATCGTCTTGCCCCACTTACCGGTGTGTTTCTAGGAGAGGAAAGAACAGACGCCATTTGGCTGGGACCCTGAATGCCAGGGCCGGCCAGCCAGGACTCCAGACGGAGCCAGCCAGCGAGCATCACAGGACACAAAGCACAAAACACACTCGGGTCCCCTAGAGTCTTCCCGGTTCACCAGATCCCCTCCATG